TTGAACCACCAGCCTTCTGGCTAGCTGTCAAATGCCTTAGGCACTACGTTACCAAGGTTGGGCAATCTACTTCCGTAGAGATACTGCCTCGGAAACCTGAAGAGGGGTCACTATGAGTCACAATCAGCTCAATGGCAGTGGTTTTCAGTTTTATATTACTACCCAAAATCCTCAATTTTTAAAAGTCAATAGGCTATTTCACTATCAGTAAAATTCATGCAACCCACACATACACAGTATAGCACACTATTTGGAAAAATGTTACCAGTGAAGCAAATCTACACTTACCTATAGTAATAGCTCGATGGAATTGATGCATGTCTTCTCCTGATAGCTCCTGGGCTACCTGCAATATTTTTTGTCGGACACCATCCAATTTAATTTCTGATTCAGTCAGTATTTCTTCCATATCAGGAGCACTACAAGAAAGATATTTAGACCTTTCAGAGCAGATGTTATGACAGTTATAAAAGTGAAATAATGTAAATATCAATTAACACTGGACTAAATAAATACTGTATATATTTGTATTCTTAATACTACAATTATATTAAGAGTATGTAAAAACATGCAAAATGTTGTAACATAATATTAAGTTAAAAAAAGATGTATACAAAATTGTAACTATAACATGATCACAACTGTGAGTAAAATATGTGCATAAAACATGACATCTGGAGGCTTCTGCATTCAGTCCATCCTGCCTTAACAGTTACAAAAGAAACAATTATCTTCCTGCCTTAAATAATTATAAAGAAAAACTAGCTATTGAAAAATGGTTTTCATCAATAAAACCAGTAGCTGTTTGTTTGAAAAGATGAATAAAATTGACGAAGACTGATGGAGAGGCCTTTAGCTAGACTGACAATGAAAGATGCAAAAAATAACAATAAAAAATAGAAAAGACCTTTTAACTGACCTGACTGAAGTAAAGAGAATTATTACAGAATATTATGAACAAGTGTACATCAGCAAACTGGATAACCTACCCAATATGGGCAAAGTTAGATGCACAGAACCTACGCAAACTGACTCAAGAGGAAATACAAGTCACAACAGATTGGTAACAAGGGAAATGATTGAAATCAGTGATCAAAGAGCTCGCAACAAAAATAAGTCCTGGACCAGATGTCTTCACTGAGGAATTCTACCTCATATTTAGAGAAGTGGTGACACCAATACAATTTAAACACTTCCAAAAGATAAAGAAGGAATACTGGACCCAATGAAAGAACCCCCAAATACATAAATCAGACGTTAAAAGAGTTGAAAAGCCAAATAGATGACTCCACACTCATAGTGGGAGACTTTAATACACCACTTTCTTTGAAAGA